AGTAACAAAAAAGGAGTACAACAAGAGCAAGCAAATTTAATTAAAGATATGAGTTGTTTACACCAACACCATTCACTACAACCACACAACTGAAACCTTTTTGGTTTTCAGTTTTCACATCTTTCTTCTTTTTGTGTAGTTAAGTCATTTCCATGTACTTGGTTTTGTATCTAGTTTATTTGTCATTTATCCGCTCTTCGGCCCATCTTTTCTTGTTTCACTACACACATCTTCAGCAGTCCATTCACATCACTTCAACTTAGCAGCTTTCAATGTATCAGCCACTATGCAGGACAGACTGTCAGAATACTAACACAGAACATCCATGAACACCAACTAGTAGTCAGAAGATACAATGAAAACTCCTTAATCTCACAATACATGAACAGACTCAACTGCAGTTTCAACTGGGAAATTGTGTGCATCCTAGACCAAGCTAAAACCCCAAAATGCTAGGGAATTACTGGAAGCTTGGCATTCAAACAAATCAGCCATCAATAGATATGTAGAAATGAACCAAATTTACACACCATTCAAAAGATACACTAAAAAAGCAGGAATCTTCCAATCACCAGGCAAAGAGTTTTCACATGTTTCCATTCTGCCAGGAAGAAAAATATGCACCAGGATAGATTGCCTACAGAAATAAATTGCTTTATTTCTTCTCCATGCTCACAGAATGGAGAGACTGGCAAGGAAGGGATTACAAGAGAGTAAGTAGGCACACAATGGGGAATATACTTGCTATATTTATTTGTGGGTTTCTGAATCACCCACTTTTTCAACTTTCTCATTCCAGGGTATCCATTTGTTTTAAAAAAATATTTTCTCTTGGATGGCATCCATTCAAATGTTGCTCATTTTTCCTCCAAAAACACTATTATTCTTCCATCACCCATCAGTGGAATGTAACATACAACTATAATCAGCCTATGAATTTTACTTCACAATCTTCCTTATTGTCATTATAAGATGGACTCAAAGATCTTGACTTTCAACACATATCATAGCTTTGGCCAATCAAGGTTTTCCAAGACAACTTTTTACTAAGCTAGAGAAGGAGTAGATCAGATTACTAGCCTCAGTCATACTCCTGCTAATGGCAAGGTAAAATAATCCTGATGCATTTTTGACACTAACCCACAAATGCCAAGATCACCAGTTTTAACTAAAGAATGCACACACTGCTTCACAAGCTAGGATTTCTAAGCTAGAGATCGCCATACAAGCTAAGAAACTGTTGCTCATGTCCTATCAATTGAGAGATAAATGCTATGTACTGCCACACGCAAAATATCTAAAAATTAAACTAAAAATCAGATTGGGGATAGTAGTATTTTGAACTTCTATATTTTATTAGTGTCACCTTAAAAAGGAGAAAAAGTTCAAATATTCATTATGATGTAAATCAGTCATATGAAGATATTTATCCTAAATATATAATCCTACACATGGAGAGATTTTTTTCTCTTTATGTATAGGATTGTGCTGCAAATTTAACATATACCATTCATTATAAGTTGCTATTTATAGTCATTCTATGATAAGAGAAGCAGACAAAACTAGGTCATTTAGAGGGTGAGGGATTGAGAACTGTGACAGACAAGTAAATGAAAAAAACAATGCTTGGTGATGGTTTAAAAACACTAACATATCTTGCTCTTTACAAAAATATATTGAAGATCTTGGTTTTTAAAATGACTTAACTTTTTTCACATTTTAATTTTTTCTTTTTTAAAAAATTGGACTCTACCCATCCTGTTGATCCACAAAAGACATCTAAAAATGTAGGGACAGTCCCTACAACTCAACTATGAACATCTTTTTGGTATTTAAAGATTGCACTTAATTTTGCGGAGAGGGGAGGAACACAATGAGCAAAGTAAAGCTGTATCATATGCATGAGTTCTTCTCTTTCTGGTTTTGTTTTTAAGTGTGTTTTGGCTGTTCCAAGGCTCATGCAATACTTATGCTTGTTTTCCACCTCAAAATGACAGGAAAATATACCTGCATTTCCAACTGTCAAGCTTTATTAAGCATGCTCCATTCAAAAAGGTGTGGAGGCAAAAACAGCTATTTTGCAATATAGCCTTTACATCTCTGGGGGGTTTCCAAATAAGAAAGCTCTACTTCCTTTAATTTCTAGGCACTAGATTAGGGCAAGGGTCCTCAAACTTGGCCAACTTTAAGACTTGTTGACTTCAACTCCCAGAATTCCACAAGTCTTAAAGTGGCCAAGTTTGAGGACCCCTGGATTAGGGTGACCAGGAATTGAATTCCAGGTTCCCTCCTTGGTCTCATCTTTCCTTCAGTCACATCATGTGCAAAATGTAAAGGACCCAAAAAATTCCATACACTGAAACATACTACTTGAATAATAATTAAGAAATCTTGCTTCCATTGAAATAAATTAGAAAACCCATATGCATTGCAGTTCCAATACTATTAGAAGACACATGTGCACAATTACTTAGATATTAAATAAATCAGAAACACTACTTTCCCATTTATGTTTTTTTAAAAATCTGATTAGCTTTGTTTCCAAAACTGAATAGAAATCTGTAGTTAAGTGGCATGTTGTTATTGTTGTTCTTTCTAGCCAGTCTTGATTCTTGGTTATACTATATATGGATTAGTCCCTGAAGTTTTCTTATGAGGAGTTTGGAAGAATGGGGAAAGAATGACTGGTTCAAAGTTGCTGGCTTCCATTCCTAAGGCAAGATTAAAATTTGAATTTCTCTGTTCCTAATCCAGTGTTTTAACCAGTAGACTGAACTAAGAATTTAGTTACTGAAATTGTGACTAGTGACTGAAAACTCAACTGTTCCTTGATCTTTCATCCCAGCATTTCTGATAATTCTCAGTAACCTTTTCAATGAACATACACTAGTCATGATTTGCTTGAAAGTGTACTGCCTCTTTTGCTTTATTTCATCACCATATTTTTATTACATTAGAGGTTTCCAAGTTCAAGCATTCACTAACATATAATTATCCCACTAAATAATATGAATGTGAATTTAAATCCAAAAGTAAAGGTTTAAGTTTTCATTCAATGAAAATATCTAACTGGGTATCAATCTGAATTAAATGTTAGTTTGTCTCATATCTGTGCACGTGTCTTCAAGCAGCAGGGTGTAGAAATTAAAACTGTTAAAACATAGCAGCTGCAGAATTACTTTTGAAATGCTAATCATTTCCCTTGAGTATTCTGATCCAGCTGTGCATTATTTAACTAAATAGGGGCTCATTGCACTTCTGGAATTTATTTCCAGATGTAGGGAATGTTCATTCCAGAAAAATGAGATAATTAATGCTATACAGTAAATAGGTCCTTCTATCCTGCCTCATCATCATGGTGCACCAGGAATGTATGTCAAGAGCATATACTCCCAAGCAGGGTCACCTAAGGTGCAAAAGACTTCTCAACTGACCAACTAAACTGGACACAGCAAATAGGAAGACTCAGGAGGATGATCACTTTACTGACAATAGCAAAGACATCAATTCATGCTGTGGGGAAGACAAAAAACAATCCTGTATTTTACCAGAAAATTACATGGATAGACAAGACAAAGTGAGTGATGATACAGTGTCCGAGAGTGGGCCCCTCAGATTGGATAGCACTTAACATGCTACTGGGGAAGTAGCTGAAGTGGTTTCAGAATATACTTTATGACATGGCTAAATTAAACCCTTCAGAAGTCTTCCAAAATTGTAAAGACAAAAATTACAGTGGGAACATAGTATATAACAAGCATAAAGATGGAAAAGCTCAACACAGCATCTTTATGCTTGCTACTTGAAATATGAAGCAAATCAATTACACGATAATGTCTTAGGCATCAGCAAATTGAAATGGACTGCAATTGAATACTTTCAGTCAGAAAATCAAAAAAACTGAAAAACTATTACTGATGATTCAAAAGCCAAAGACGATGCAGTGTAGCTTTTATAATGACGAAGGATATACCATTGGTAATAATTGGATACAAAACTCTCAAAGACTGAATATTGTAAGACTTTTTGGACAACCCTTTAATATGACATTTTTACTCCAGCCACTGATGCAGAAGAAGGGGACGTTGCTGACTGAATTCAACAATTTGATTTATGTTAGAATCCTAGTGATACAATGGTTAAAGTACAGTATTGCAGGAAAACTCTGCCCACAGCCTGGAGTTCAATCCTGATGGGGCTCAAGATTGACTCAACCTTCCATCCTTCTGAGGTCAGTAAAATGAGGACTATCCTTCTGAGGTCAGTAAAATGAGGACCCAGTTGTTGGGGAAAATATGTAAATAATAGTTACATAATAGTTACTCCTCCCCTCTGGGAGGAGGTTTCAAAGTATTTCTAGCAGAACTACCTGATTCTGTAATAGCTTTGTTCCATATGCCATCCATCTGATAAACTCGTAAGATTTGTTTTTCTCGCCATGCACCTGTATACATAATCCGAACTAGACTGTGTTGTTTCTCTGTGTCACACAATATATGTGGGCATATGCATAATTCTGTATTTATTTATTTATTTTTGTCATATTTATGTAGTGTATATCAGAGGTGGTGACTCTTTGAGAGCTGTATGCAAGGAAATTTTATTTTAATGTATGCCGATTAGTGTACATTCAAAGTGGCAATAAAGTTATTATTCCACTCCACTCCATTCCATTCCATTCTATTCACTGTAAAGCACCCAGAGAGTGCAGTAAGGCACTATGGGGCAGTATATAAGTCTAAATGCTATTGCTATTGTTCATTGCTAATACAATCTTCAAGTATCTAAACAAACAATGCGTACGTAACAGGGACATCACCAGACTGAGTATGCAGAAATTAAATTGACCATATTATTAATACAAAGAAGTGGAAGAGCTTAGTTATACAATGAAAGTTTTGCCAGGGCTAACCATGGAACAAACCATGAACTGCTTAGGTGGAAATTCAAGTCAAGCTAAAATAGAAGAAGACTTCATATGATTTTGGACAAATACTCACCGCTTTCAAAGAGAACATCAGGAATTTTTCTGAAGTCCTGAACCCCATGGACAGGGAACCAAAGGAACTGTGGAGTGAAATTTTTAAAAAGTATTAATGATGAATATGAAAAGAGATGTCCAAGTCCCCAAAAACATAAGAAGGCAAACTAGATGTCAGAACAACTTGTGGAAATTGCCTAGAAGGCAGGCCACGAAAGACCAAGATTTCAAGAAGGACCTAACAAAAGTATTTTTTAAAAAGGTGTTAGAAGACACAAGAGCCAGTATTACAATTTCATCTGTAATAACACTGAAGATGGAAAAGGGCACAGAAAAATAAGGATAGCCTTCTAAAAGATCTCTATGCTCAGAAGGAGGTAACAACCTCAAATTAGTTTGCTAAAGCAGGGTTTTTCAACCTTTTCACCCACTGTACCACTTTTAGGATATGACAACATGCGAGTACCACTAGTCGCCTAGCAAGGTGTCAAAAACTTGACGACCCAAAAAAAAAGGAAAAAAGTGATAAACTACAGGTAGTCCTGTCTTACAACAGTTCGCTTAGTGACTGTTCAAAGTTACAATGGCACTGAAAAAAGTGCCCCCCCAAGCCACAGCCGAGCAAGACAACTGCCTGCCACCCGGCAGCGCTCTTCCTCCTGTCCAAGGTTTTCATCGTTGTGAGCATTTCTGTTGAGGATTGGCTGTGGGCGTGGGGTGGGGGTGTTTGGTTTTTATTCCCCCCATCTGCCGGGTGGTTGCAGCAGGTTTTGGTCACTTTACATGAGCCTGGAACACTGTGACCGTCATAAATATGAATCAGTTGCCAAGCATCTGAATGTGAATCACAAGACCCTGGAGAGGCTGCAACATTCCAGCTGATTGGTGCTTCTTCTGGGCTCAGCAGAAGCGCCAGGATCAATGCCGAGTTCCAGCTGGAGCCTGGTGCTGATCCTGGCGCTTCTGCTGAGCCCTGACAGCCCTGCAGCTCCAGCCATCTCTCGCTCAGGTTTGTGCGGTGCTGCCACCATTTCAGCTCATTCCCCTCCCCCGCTACCACTTTTCTAGGATGGTCGCATACCACCTGCCAGGTGTCAATGTACCACAGGTGGTACCCATACCACTGGTTGAAAAGCCCTGTGCTAAAAAATTCCATAGATCAAACGAATATGGAAGGCGTATAATAAAATTCTGTACAGTAAATATGTCAACATCCAGGATATCTCAACAGGAATTCCATATTTTCTAAGAACCTCTGGTAATTACCAAGTTTTAAGGTTAGTCACATAAGCAATGGCTTCCTACGCAAGAGGAAGATGGACTCTGAACTCTGAAGAAGCAGTCAATTCATTCTCTGAAGAACAATCAATCCAGACTATTCATTCAAGTAATAAATGATCAGGTTCAAATAATCATATTCCTGACACATTATGATGAGACCTAGCTTCAAATGTTCCTAAAAATGGGAGGGGAAGGGAGGGAAGGGAAGGACCAACAGCAAGAAGATAGACTCAATTATAGTACCGATGAGTGTGCCATTGGAAGATGAAGAAATAGGATGGGAACGGATCATCCCCGAGATATTCTATGTAGTTGCTAAGAGTTGACACTGATTTGATAATACATAAACAGATTACTTTGAACAGAAAAAGCTTCTCAAACTATACAGGTATTCCCAAGTCTCATTTTAAAATGTATATTGTACTTCATGGCTGATACAAAGAATTGAGAGCAGTAGAGTTTGGTAGTATACAAAAGCTTAGATTTGCTTAGATTAGCACATCTTCTTCACCTTAATAAAGCTGGAACCAAGGCTCTGTAAATAAAGTCATGGAGCTGTGAAATGAAAATAAAAATTAATATTGTTCTTTAAAGAAAACGTCAACCATGATGGGTTTTATATGTGTTTAAAATAGATTTTGCATTGGAGCAGGCATAATCATAGCATCTTGTTTGTTGTTGTTTTTTTGTTGTTGTTCTGGGAAAGATATTGATGCAGGGGCCTTGTGACAAGCAAGATGAAGAAAATATGCAAACTAGGATTATATATCATGACTATACCTCAGGTTTACTGACCTGTGTCCAATATTGTTGCTTAATCAAATCATTTATCTACAATATACTGTATGGAACTTGGTAAATCTATATATATGCAAATGCCTCTCATATTACTAAGCTAGTTAATGGTGAGCTAGACTGTAGATATATAACTAGCTTAAAAACTCTATGCCCATCAATAGGTTTTTATCAAAGAGGTAGGAGATACTGAGAGCAGTGTCAAGATTCAAGCCCAATATACTATGCTTTTCAGTATTTTATACATATATTTATTAATGAGGTAATGGAAATGCTTATTTGATTTGACAATGACATAAACCTGGTGAGAAAATTTATCTAAAATGACAGAAATAAATTTCAAAGAATGATAATAACAGAATTTAACTCACTTAGAAAAAAACAGATCATATGCCCATGGACAGAATTAGGGTTACCTGGCTTGGCAGTAGTACTTGTGAAAAAGATCTGGGAATAGTAGTTGATTACAAGTGATGATTCAACAATGTGGTGTACTGCAAAGGAAGTTAATACTTATTTTAGGCATTAACAATAACAGCAACAACAAAAATACAGGTTCTACATCAAATCAACATTCCATTTTATTCTAGTTGGATTAAAATCTCTTTGTGTAATGTCCATTTCTGGACAATGCACTTTTGAGAAAAATTCAGAGAAGGGCAGTGACGGTGAAGTAGAAATTAAGTCATATAAAGAGAGATTCAAAGATCTAGAAATGTTTGCTTTAGAGAAAAGGGGAGATGTGAGCGCTGTCTACAAATATCTGAAAGTGTGTCACCCAGAAGATCAAGACCTATTTGGTATCATTACAGAGGATATGACACAGATTAATACATTTTAGTTAGAAGAAAAAAAAGTTTTTAATTGAAAGTTAGGAAAGAAATTCAAACAATACGAGCAGTTCAACAGTGGAATCAATTACTCAGAAAGCTGTCTAACTTTTGCTAGAATTGACAAAGCAGAGACTGGACAGTTTACTGTTTGGATGCTTCAGTTTGGATTACTTTGCCCTCCAGATTCAGTAGCCCAAGTATTATATGTTACATAGTTGTTGTTTTTTCTTCTTCCACACAATTCATGTTAAGTATCCCTCATTCAAGTAACTAATTTAAAAAGTTGTACAGTACAGCAGTCAGGACAGAGCCCTGTGGCCCTCCGCTCAATACTTTCCTCCAAGTTAAAATGTGGTCCAACTAATGGACCTGGTTTGGATGTAGTCATTCAGTCAACTGTGAGACCATCTAACAGTTGTGTCATCTAGTCAGTGGTGGGATTTAGCTAGTTCACACCACTTCAGCAGAAACATGGCTAATTTTTTGTTGCCCAGGCCCAGAATGGACTTCCGGGTAGCGGCATCCACACAGAGAATCGGTTGTTCCCATATTTGAATCCCATCACTGCATCTAGTCCATATTTTACCACTTTGTTAAGGGAATAACACAAGTTACACATTATGCCGTTGAACTACTTTGCTAAGATTTGAGTAAACTGTTCTGATCTCCTAAGCTAGTAGGAATAGAAAAACTGGCTTTAATATACTGTCAAGGAAAGAATAGAACAACTGGCTTTAATATACTTAAAAAATTTACATTATCAAAGTGGAAAGTATGACAAGTTGGCTATCTGAAAATGAACCTTTGTTAGAAGTCCTTCAAATCTCCCTTAATAAGGAGATTGAGTACCTGTCAATTTGGAAGTGAATTGCACCCATACCTCAGAAATATGTATTAAGTGGGTTCCCTAGATTAACATTTGTTAATTTATTTTTTTTAAAGACTTCCAAGCAGCTTAACCAGGAATGAACATATTCAAGAGCTTCCAATTTCATGTCTGGTATCAGTTGAAAAAGGGTGATGGAATGCCAAAAAGGGTTTAGGAATTTAGCATTTCATTTTCAAGAGCAGGAAAGTGCTTCAGAGCATAATGGAACATAAATGAAACATTTGTCTGCAATTCATTTCCCACACACATCTGGTGGGAGATACTTGGTTTAAGAAGTGTTGACATGCTCTTTGTACTCATTATGGTTTGGAAATATTAAACTAGGGTTTCATGCCTAGCTAGCATCCTGTTAAGGGGTGCAAGTATTTAGATAGCAAAATATTGTAACATTACCATACAGTTCAGCTATTAGAAGTGTGGAAAAGAAATCAAAATGTTCCCTGCCATTCAATCTTCCCTTATTCCTCAAGGTCCAACCTCACAATCATTTCCAGGGTAAAAGGTGAGAAATTACACAACAAAAGATAACAAACTTGACAAAGAGGTTGAAATTAGTCAAAGGTAGCAGCCTATTCAGGTAAACATTCCTTTTAGGATACCAGAGATTTCACTCATTAATAAACAAAAGGTCCCTTCCTCTATGTGACTACCATTCCTATCCACAAAATGTTAAATAAATGGAAAAAAACCCCACAAGTTCAGCCAGGGTGCCTAACCAATGAGTGCCCCCTTTTGGCCATGCAGCTAATTGCATTTTCCAATAATTGCTGGGAGAAACAAAATAAAGGTATGTCTATAAAAGTAACCACATCAAAACTGTAACTTTGTAGCTATCTTTGATTGCCCTAACTGTCTATCTTGCTATGATTGTCTATCATGCTCTCCCATAAACCTCTCCTCTGTTTCCAGCAATTTGCCCTCTGTACTTGGAAAGCCAGGCCTGGAATTTTCTTCTAAGAACTATCTTCCAAAAGGTTTTCCTAGTTGTGTGGTTAAAGCATATCATTCTAAAGCCCTAAGAACCAGAACTATATTCTTTATGGGAAACCACCAATGATCGTGGGAAGCCCCAAGACGAATGGACTTTTCCCCCTGTGCTTGAAATTCACAAATCAACATTTGCAATCACAAATTTAGGTCTGATACTAATAGCCTTTTACCTCCCCAAACACCCTTCGCAAAGCAATAAATGGCATCATGATGGATAAATATTTATAGTTAATGAAATAACTGATGTCTGGAGGATGTATGGATTGACTTGGTTTAGTGAGCTAGAAAAATGTTAAGGATTCATTAATAAGAGGGATGAAAAACACAGTGACAACCATGCAGCATAAGAATATCAAGTCAACATCAACCATGTTAACAGCAGGCAATGTTAACAAGGCTTCTGGCTTACTTCCCCCATTTTTTGATGTGTGAATTGTATAAAGCCAATCAAATGAAAATCACACAAGAACGGAATGGAAAACCTCAATTAAAGGTAAAGAAAATGCTCACACTTTCCTCATTCTTGCAGTGTGACAGCAATAGCAGCTGGTAGGCTTCCGAAGGAGTTAACTCATCAGCTTCCTGCCAGGGCAAAAAGAGTGGGGGGTAAAATTTAATTGCAGCAAGCATTCACACTACAATGCACCTAACCTATTAAAACTACTTGGAAACAAAAGGGCTTGCCTGAGTGGAATCCTGAGTCAAGACAGACAAAGCTTAAGGTTGCACAGTTGAAAAGAAATTCATTTGACCTTGAGATGTTCTGATTGAAAGCAAACGGTTATAAGAAAATGATTGTCATAGCAGTTTTAAGGTAGATTTTGGTGTACATGAATGTTCTAATTCTGAACAGCAGTACATTTACAACACAAATAGAAAGTCTGAATTATAAACATTATAAGAACAGCTGATATATTCCAGAATTCTGTTTAGCAGCATCAAGTGATAAAACTTTTTAACTTTATTGCAGATTGAAAATGTGCATTTTATAATAGACTATTTGTCACATCCACCCTCCTTTCTGTGATCCATCATGAAGGTGTGTCCATCACTGGAGGTTTTTTAGAAGAGATTAAGGGGGGGCTGAGATAAGGAGGCACTGCCTTTTAACTGCAGTAAAAACACTGTGCTAGAGGGTCAGTCTATTCTCCAAAGCACCTGAAGGCAGGACAAGAAGCAATGGATAGAAACTAATCAAGAAGATAACCAACCTAAAACTAAACATAAATTTTTTGACAGAATTAATCAGTGGAACAACTTGTCTTCAGAAGTTGTGGGTTCTCCAACACTGGAGGTTTTTAGGAAGAGATTGGGTAACCATTTGTCTGAAATGGTATAGGGTTCCCTGCCTGAACAGGGGGTTGGACTAGAAGACCCCCCCAATGTTCCTTCCGACTTTGTTATTTCAGGAAAGAAAGTGAAATGCCAAAATAGTACTTCATGGAAAATTTTAAGGAGAACAATAGCACATTCAAGGAAAGTCCCTTTCTTTGTGTCAAAACACTGGCAAGAATCTTCAGAAACACAGGCTCTTGAGTCTTACTATCTTATTTGCCTTTTTCTCATGACCTCTTGGGTAGCGAAACATCAGATGCTTGCTAAACTAAAGAAAGCGAATATATGTTAGCTGCTAGCTGCAAGAGATCCATCTCCATCCATTTTCTTCTATGACTAGAGTTACGCAAACCTAGCATACACATTTGTAGCCCCCTTTTTTCAAATATTACAATGTAAAAGAAATTTTAATCGACATATTTATTTGTTCGTTGAATTATTTTGCCACCTATCTTGCCGTGGGGCTTCTCTAGGAGGCTTACAATAATAAAAAGGAAGAAAAATGAAAAGGCATATAAACAGAAGTAAAATAATAGAACAATAGAGTAAACAACGACAAAGGAACACAATGAGAATAAATACATCAGTAAGATAATCAAAAAGATGGATGGGTAGAGAGCAGAGAGCAAAGGGGAGGTAAGAGTCTGCCATTAATCCAGCAGCCATCTCCAGTGTGGAACTTCCCCCTTGGGTCCTTAGGCTCTGGCTGAAGGATAGGAGGTTTGGAGCAGATCCTACCTTACAAGATAAGGAGTTCCAAAATGTGGGTGCTGCAGCAGAGATCTTCTTCTGGATCCTGATAGATGGGGGTTCTTTGACCAACAGGATCTGAAGCAGGCCCTCTCTGCCTGAGTAGGACAGGCTTTCTCTGGAAACAGATTTAGGGATTTTACTCTTAGAGGAATCCATAGCAGAATATATACTAACGAAAGAAATATCATATAATCATTCTAGAAAGCGCCGAAAAAACAAGTGCCACAGAACATATGCTGAGTGTTTTAGAGGTTAATCAAGATAAAAATATTTCATGTCCATCTCACATTTACTCAAATAAATGCATTTCCATCTGCCTCATGCATATTTGTTTAGATTTGTAAAAACTTTATTTTGCCATGTTTTAAAACATACTACCAGAGGGACTAGTAGGCCAAAAGAAATCTTAAGAGAGTTGCAAATCTCTACTTGCAACATTTCTTTTGTAATTACATAGATTTTCTTGCCTATGGGGAAGGTATCTCAGTGTAACCTTCTGCCATGTAAAAATCTCCAGGCAAGCACCTGCAGAGTCCGAGATTTTTTCTTAAACTGCCAAATGAATAAACTGGGGTTCATCCCAACAATGTTTGCATGGACTAAGACAGTGTTTCTCAACCTTGACAATTTTAAGGCATGTGGACTTCAACTCCCAGAATTCCACAGCCAGCAGTGCTGGCTGTGGAATTCTGGGAGTTGAAGTCCACATGCCTTAAAATTGTCAAGGTTGAGAAACACTGGACTAAGAGATGCAGAATCAAATCATTTCTAAGGACAATACCAAGGGTGGCCTTTGTTATTATAGAACTGTCCACTTTTTAATTTTTTTGTTATACAAATTCAAATTTCTGAGAATCTGACCAGCAATTGTATCAACTTTACATAGAGAATTGGGACTGTAAAAATTCAAACGTGTTTCTTCCAGGAAATAATAAGGTACAATCATTCCTTTCTTCCTTAAATCATACCAGATAGAGAATAACAATCTCTCTGCTAACGGAGCAAGTGCTAATAAATGAAAGACAAATCACAAGCAGTTGATGATTCTATTAAAAAGCATAATAACATCAAGTTACAAAATCTGATCAGTGGCACAGCAATCTCTACAATATAATGAGATGCTCCATCATCTCCTGAAACTAACCAGAACATAGCTTTAAAAATAAAATATTGCAATATTGATTGATTGTAAGAAAACTCCCTCACACCATTGACATTACATGCCATGTTTATAATTAGCTACCTCATGGCAATTGTTCCACAGCAAGCATCAGGTTTCATGGGTAATATCTCAGAATCCCTTATTTTTGCTTGGTCAGTAGCAGCAACTAATTTACTCCAAATTGACAGTTTGGATTAAATTAGAGCTATAGGCAAAATGAAGATTGCAAAGGACAATGAGCTGCTTTGCAGATACAGCAAGCTGTTAGGCTAAGAAATGTTTGCTAGCAAATGAAAGACACAAAGAAATTTTTAAGACTTTAACTTAATTAGGACAATTTCCTTAAAGGGTAATCAGCTCATAACTGAAAGTGAAACTTCAAAAGTGATTTCAGCAAAAAATCTTTGCCCAAGATCCTGACGAAGTATTTTCCAAGAGATTTGCATATGGATATTTGTCCCTATGTCTTTAGCTGGAGAATATAATGCCTATTCCAAGTAGTCAAGCTTCAAAGCAACAGTTTTATTAGTGAGTTGACAAAATGCTACATACTCTTGAGTACTATAAAAACCACTGCATTGTGCTGTTAAAGAAAGCCAATTCTGTCTTTACATTATATTGTTGAATTTACAAAGATCATACGTAGAGAAGATATGCAACTTACCCTTCAAAACAAAACAAATGTACAAAAAAACCAACAATTACTGCATGTTCTGTACTATTTCCACAAATTTAAATCTATGGGAAGTTAGCACACAATCTCCTTTCTCCATCTGGCACACCAAATTCAGTGTTTTTGATGTAGATTAGAGAAACAGCATTGCTCCCATTTTTAAATCATAAACAGTGGCTCCACCTAGGGTTTTGATGAGAAGTGATATAAAGATAGGGTTTTATCATTGTCATAATCATCCTTAGACCATTATAGTCCAGAATTTTGTCATACAGTGGCCAAATAGAAGTTCTGCTCTGAAATAGAAATATCCCAATTTCCCAGCAACCTACTTCCTTTACATTTATGGGTAATTATTGGGATTATTCTTTATAAATTAATAAAACAGCAATTATGTTCATTAGTATAAAGACTGGCCAATATTAAAGAGAGGACATAAGTGTAAAAGTTTAAAATCCCTTAACAAAAAAGTTGGATTCACCCCTCACATGGTTTGTTCTAACCATGATGTGTCTAAGAAACCACAGGGGCATAGTTCATACAATATACTAATCCAAAACAAAGCAAACTATGATTTGCCTTGATTTAGGAACCCAGACAAGTAAGTGATTGGGTTCCTACATCATGCTTAGCCAGATAATGACTGGATATATTCGCACAACATACTGAGTTTGGTTAGCATTAAATCCTTTTGATGTTTCCCTATTATGGTTTTAGGTTTTTTTACTGGCTTAATGTACTGTGCAAACCCATATGATTACTTTATGCTATGATTCAGTGAATCTAGAAAATCAGTTAATTCAATAATCAGGTTAAGTATATTGTGTGAACTTAGAACTCATGTTTCCACTCAGTACTATGCAATATTATTTTATATAATCTCTGGTCAGGATCAGGGCACTCTTCCTATTCATTATCACTCAAGGGTTCAAGTAATCTTACTCTCTTGAAAAATGTCCTGACAGGAAGCAAGTTTGCCAAATTGCATCTTACCAAAATTCAATGTTTTCCAATCATGAAAGCCATTTAAACTGACACTGCAGGCATTACAGAAAATAAATGGGATGTCCATTCTCTCGGAGTATTGTCTAGAAATAAATTTTCCAATCTTTTGTATTCAAGGCAGACACTTTTAAAAACTGCTTGACAGTAAAGTGTGAACTCAATGACTTTGGAAAAAAAGTATATATGTTTAATATAAAGAGAAATTCTCTCTGGTTTGTCCTTTTTGAACACTCTTTGTTTTTGGATCCAAACACCATAGATTCTCTACAAAATTATGAAGAATTTTGGGTCTTTACCTACAGCTGAGAAACAGGCTGTAACCCCAGGCTGAATTAATGCAAATAAAGATCACTAACCTAAAGCATAAGGAATTTCAACAACAATTTAAGCAAAATTTCCATTTTTGCCTTAATTAATTATTTCAATAATGTATTTTTATCATAATTTAATTTGTGGCATATATTTAAACCTCAACAAAGGTGAGTACCTGGCTTTCTTGAAAGCTATCAAGGTCAGTCCTGGTTAGTACTTGGAATAAAGGCCACAAGGAATCAAATTAGGAAATCATATAAACCTGGAAGACAATAGCAAGTTATTTCCATTCTGTCCATTATGTCAGCATCAGTAAATGTCAATTTTAGACTTTACTTGACTTTTCTTTTGATAGACGCTGGAAATTGCCAATGAGTCATAATCTGAAACACTTGCTGTACAGCTATTCATTAGATTAAGTTTAATTCCCCCCTATTTTCCAACCAGTCCAATACATTGGGGAAGTCAATGATGCTAGGAATGGTTAGTGGATTGAGAAGATGGGGCAAACAAAGAACCCGCTGGTTTGATACCATCAAAGCTGATAAAAAGATGAACATCCAAGAAGCTATGCTTGATAGGGTAGCACTTGCCTATAAAGTTGTCAAGTGTCTGAATGGTTAAAACTGTTTTCCAACCAACCAAAAATACCTGCTGAATTTATCTTAATTTTGCATCAGGTGACAGGATCTAATCAATGAATTCAAGAGGCTACATAGCATTGGCCCCAGTTAGTATTTGGATAGGCAACTACCAAAAATACCAAGAGTGTAAACTAAAACTGGAAAGTTGGAAAGAATATCCTGGAAGAAGGCAATGGCAAACCACTTCATTTGGTCTCCAAAAAGACTAATACTGATATGTCTATGGAGTTACCAGAAGTTAAGTGTGATTGGAAGAACGGACTTTACTCCCACGGCACTCAAGCCAACAGAGATTTTCGAATGTACATATGCAAAATATATACACTTTCTAGATGTTTTGTAGCTACCCCCTAACAATACCTACATATGTGTGTCAAAAGTAGCAGGCATGGTATGGAGAAGTCCTGTCCCTTTTGAACATATGCATTTGTTTAAAAATCAATACGGCAAGGAATGGGTTGCAATGTCACACACACTATCTTGGAGATTTAACACCTTCCAAAAATGTCCCTGATGACTATGCAAAACATTGCTTATTTTCATCAGATGGATAGCCAGTGTCTATGTTTACCATATGAGAAGCACGTTGTTTGTTTAGATTAAACAAGTCCATTTTGTCATTTTGTGCACAAAGCTGTGATGAATATTGCACTCAACTCTTCATTCTCCTTTTTCAAAACTTTTCCTTCCAGCAAACTGTAATTTGCCATTTGATTCAGAAGGCACAAAACTGTAAAACTCACAATTTATTCACAAATCTGGAATCAACCCAATAAATCGCCATTACCAAATTCTAAAATGATTCTTACTCATTTAAAACTACAATTGTTGTTTTCAAAGCTCTGTTTTGGAAGACAATAAACATTAACTTAGAATAAAAGACATTTTTGAGAAGAAAAAAAGCAGATTTCAGAAAAGCTTATACGACTGCAAACTGAAAACTTCAGCACCCTAGTGATTTTTTTTATATAAAACTACAATATATGGCTTTTGTTTCAGTGATTAGATGCATCAAATTAACCCATTTTGTGATCCATAATAAGCTGACTTTAGTGAATGTCATAGCTTACCAGGCTTGTAATAAACCTTTTATATGAAATAAGCTTGAATAAAGCATGCACATTCTCAGTGTAATAAGAGATAAAGTCAGCCTACAATAACTTCAAGAATATTGACTTTTAGCTACTGTCCAACCAGTGGTGGGATTCAGCAGGTTCGCACCACTTCAGCAGAACCGGTAGCTAATTTTTTGTTGCCCAGGCCCAGAATGGACTTCAGGAAGTAGCATCCACACAGAGAACCAGTTGTTCACATATTTG